CGTTAGCCCGGCAACTTACTTCTTAACCGACGTCCACTCTGGCATTTCACCGTGAACAGATGGGCACCAAATTCCATTCGACAAAGTTTATCCATCCATAATTGACCCTTGTCTGTACCCAGACTTGCGATGTCGTCGAAATTTACGTTTGAGTCGTTCGTCCGTTTGCATGGATTTTTATATCCATTGGACATTAAAATTATTATTATTATTCTACTTTTGTACTTTACATTTTATCTTTTAACCTCCATACTTTTAACTTGGTCACTATACTTTTTCTGTAATCCAACTTATGTTGGTCTTACTCGAAGCAGCAGTCATGCTTTAGCTGCCATTCACACTTACTTTGACTTCAATTTAGCGCCAAAATTGCGATTGTATTTATTTCTTAATTATAGGATATATTATCCCATAGCATTAATGATATTATGACTATTTAGCATGATATATTACCCCGATCTTGAATTTGTCTCTGCATTTGTATGTCTCTTGGTCACCTCCAATGGACCCATCATCGCACATGTCTAGGATTTTACAATAATTATTTAAATGCACGTTTCTAATCCTATAGATGACATTTTTAGATTTTCCACTTTCTTTTCGTTATTAATAGACTTACGTTTAGAACTAAGCTTGGCAAGGCATTGGCTAAACCCAGCTTAGTCTATCCTCTCGTTAGCTTCCTTCTTGAATACAATAAAGAACTTGTAAATTTGGCTCCAACTTACAGTTTCAGAGGCTTTGACATTTTCTCTGAACTCCCTTCGGCCACATGTATTTGCACCTCCTTAACTTATCCTCCATTGTTGAACTTACTTTCATTTCGAGTGAAAATGTGCGGTGAAGAGCTTCGAAAGTCGATCCTACCAGGAGGCGGCGGCAGAATTCTCTTGACCAGTTGTCGATTGGCTTTACTGGAACATTCTTGTCGATGCTATTTTAGAGGTAATCTCCTTCGATTACAGTAAGACCGTGCCAGGCTTTCGTCCATCATATGAAGGACAACTCAGAGCAGAGTATCATCCCCACGATCATATTCAAGCTAACGAGTCAAGTGTTTAATGATGAGGTTCAAAGCTTGATCGAATCAAGAGATGACTAGCCATCCGTCGTTTGGCTTGACTGGAACCCTTCGGTTGGCGCTGTCTTCGAAGTTAATTGTCTTGTTACGTCTATATCATGATAATTTTCATTATCGGACTGTGAACTTAGCATATTCCCATGTTTAGCCGGCGCCGTAGTCGGTGTCGTCAGGGGGCCTTGTTATGCATCGCACCAATCTACAGCTCATCAAAGAGACCTTTTACTAAACCGTTGAGATACATATCCCCATTCTCTCCTGGCATATCCATCTGTCCCATATCCTCGTATGTGGATAAGTCAGAAAAGCCTTTTTTGTGTGTCCGTGGCTCTTGGTAGCAGTACACAAACGCTAGTTTTTCAACTCTATTACCGCTGGGATCAGGGAGCTGAGAAGCGAAACGGATATGCTCACGAGTATTCTGCTAAGCGAGCCTTAGTGACCAAATAAAGAGAGGCGAAAAGTGGGGTTGTATGCTTGTGCATGTATGTATATATATATGTATGTGTATGTATATATGCATGTGAATGCTTTTATTTCACTTCTAAAAGGTCTAGTCTGATGTACAAAACCCGCGGGCTGCTCAAGTCTGAAGCTGTCGTGGCTCATGTGAATGGCGAGCCAATGTGGGCTTTTCCGAAGGCATTATGCGGACGCACTGTTTCTTTCCTGCGCAGGGGATGGAAGCAAGAGTGACTACACCCAGTTCAATCTAACAGGCTCGCTAAAGTAATAAATCATCGGTTTTTCCCAATTATTTATTATTGACTTGGCAGGCATCTCAATCTATTGCGGGATCCCTTCGTCCGGCAGCCGGACGTTTATCTTCACGGAGTGATTTATATGTTAATGGCGATTTTTCGCTATTTAATTGCACCATTCTTTCAAATAGTCTCCAACCGATTTGCTTCAGATGATTTTTCTGGCTAACGAAGGCTAAATTGTCCACCGATTCGTCTACTTTAATTGCTTTAATCGTTTAATCAAACGGCTCGCGAACCAATTCTCCTCTCGGCCGTTCTCTTTGCATTAGCGGACAATATCAACCGTGATGACTTTAGTTACGAAGCCCAGAAGTGTTATTAACTCTGTCTCTTTATCTTGGCCACCCGACTCTGTTCTGGAGTTGACCTTGGCTCAGCTAAGCCTTCTTCCACGTTTCGCCATCGCCGACAGTGCCCCGTTCCAGCCAGATCCTGGGACCGCGTTTGCCTACAGATCGCCATTCATCAGAATGGCCGATTCGAAGATCCCCTAGACGCTGTCGCCTGGTTCGCCCAACATGTCGTCCAGTGGATCGCAGGGACTCGCGTCGACGCTTCCACCTTGTGACGACAATACAGACATGAACAGTACTCCGTCTACGCATAGGCCAGAATCATTTCACTTCTCCAGTCTGTTGGCGCCAGAAAGGAACTTTGTTCTCCTTAAATCCCCCCTTTCGTGCTACATTCCATGTTCGTTGTCCTCCTCAAGCTATGTATTTGTATTAATCTCTTGAGAATGTTCTGTTGTGGCAACTCATCTCGTATGAAAGTGCATGCTGACGAGATTCTTAGGTCGATCTAATCTGAAGACTACAGTTGATTTCCGTTGTTCCGCAGCCGAATGGTTTTAATACGACCTTCATGCCGACGCAGTCAATGAGACATCCCTCTTTCTTTCGGGTGAAAACTGGTTGAGCTTCCGTTCGTCATCTGACGAACATGCTCAGAGCTGGGACTCATCGTTGCAAAAGTCTTAAGTTAACAATAAGTAAAGAATTGGTCCCAAATCTGATAACATTTGAAAAAAAAGTTGGGTTTTGATAAATTTCTTGTTTGATAATTGCTGAGCTCACTTCCATTTCCGGTAAGGGTGTTCAAGGGCGGATCCTACCATAAAACGACAGCGGATTCCTCTTGATTAGCTGTCGATTAGCATTACTGGAACATTCTTGTTGACGCTGTTTCCAAAGCAATCTCCTTCGATTCCAGTGAGAACATGCTTAGTTTTCCTTTGAGCCTAGATATATGGAATACATATGAAGCATTTAGTGATTTTTTGACTCTGACATGAATATGGTTGTAAGAATGATATCCTACATTCCTTCGTCATACGACGGATGAAAGCTTAGCACATTTTCATCATAATCGAAGTAGCTTGCCTTGGAAACAACGTCAACAAGGATGTTCCAACAAAGCTAATTGACGGCTGGTTAAAAGAAATCCGCCGTCGTCTTCTATTGGAACCGACCTTTGAACCTCTTCATCAAACACTTTCACTCGAAATGGAATTGAGCTCAACTGATAATGTTCGTCAAGTGGCACGGCGGACGGAAGCCTAGTTCCTTTTCACCTGAAACTAGTGCGGGTGTCTTTTGAACTGCGTCAGTCTGTAGGTCGTATTTATGCCAAATGGCTGCAGAATAATGGAAATTGGCCGTCGTCCTTTGGTGAGATTCACCTTCGAATCTCTTCTTCGTGCACTTTCATACGAAATGAAAGCCTCCGCAACAAGGCATCATTTGATAGAAGTGGGTTGACCTCGTTGTCGCAACTTGGTCTTGCTTTCAGGGAGACCATGTAGAACGCACC